CCTGTCCCATGTTTCTCCCACCCTTAGCAGTACTGACACACCGCCACATTCCCTTTCATGGTCTTGACCTTCCCATTATTCCCTAGCTTTGTGCCAAAAAGTCAAAGATTCCACAAAAGTTATGAGCACCTTGCATTAAGGGACCATATACCAGGAACCCTAGTACCATTAAGGGCTCAACATTATCCTGACTAACCAAGTCATCCTTGTTAAATCACCAAAGAAAAGGTAAACCAGTTATTTCAACAATTCTAAGTGATCATTGACACTGTTGTTACAAAACTGGTACACAGAACAACAGCAACATGGCAAGCAATAACTTACATATTGGGTGGAAAGATTCACCTGTGCAAGCTTCAAAGGAAAAAAAAAAATATTGGAGCATTTTAGAGGTTCCTGCAAATGGGTAGAATCTGATGGGTTAAGGTGTGTATGTACAGGCCTGAGCTTATTTCAAGCCACTTGCCATCATAGCTAGGTAACTTCAATGATTACAGCAAGACACCAGATAACATTCAAATCTTATTTAGTTAACCTATAAAGGTGTGCATCTACCCTGCTTTCTGACTGACTTCAGACTCTAACACAGCTCTGTTGCACCTCTGTAGCATATAGACATTTCAGTTTTTTAGGCTCATGAGTTTTAGCCCACTGCATTGAGAACTGACTTTTTTTTGGCGGGGGGGGAGGGAGGAGAGGAGAGGAGAAGAAAGAGTCACTTCCTAAGAGGCAGTGAGCATCATGCACTACTAGACCCAAGTGTTGAGAAACAAAGAGCAGTTGGGAAAACCCTCAGAACCAAGATGGGTAGGGGAAAAAAAAGAAAAAAAATTTTAAGAACCAGCCAAATTTTGTAAAATGCTATTTCTCCCCAGGAAGCTAAAACTCTTGCTAAATTTGGACCATTACTCAATCTACAAGCTGGTATACATGTATGATCCTGTTGTGTTGCATGTGAACAAAATCAACACAACTTTAAAACTTGCTTCATTGGGGATCCAAGTTGGAGCATGTTCGCTGCACATAGTGCTGAAAGATTATGCAGGTGCAACAGTTGAATACTATCAGCTTATACTTGTAACAACTAGATTGAATCATTACACCAGTACATTCTGTGTTCTGCACAGAAAAAGAATCAAGACAGATATATTCTTTGACATCAACCGAAGGAACATGGTCATCCTGCCCAGGATATTCATTTACTACACGTGCGTTAACCAAATTAAAATGTCTTTTTTTATTTATTTTTTTAAAAGTGCAAGTAGAAGCTAGGCAGCTAGCCTGACCTTCAGCAGTTCATTTTTAGAATACTGTGCAATACACTACATGCAGTATCAGAATAATGCCCAGCTGAGAAAAAACAAAAGTTTTTCCAAAGTGTAAGTCAGATATACAAGCTATCTAGAATAAAGCCTACCACAACTTGAATCTAAATTCCACTTTTTCCTAATACAAATATAAAATAGTTACCTTTAAGACATCCTGAAGATCCTTTTCTGAAATCTCTGGGAACTCTATTTCATGATTAGGATCAATTATAGCATGAAGTTTTGTGATTTGATTTGTTATGTGCTGAAATGGAGTCCTCCGGTAAGTCATACAATATAAAATGCATCCCAATGACCAAACATCACTTTTGGGACTTATCTAAAACCAAATACAATTATTCAGATAATTATACCACTTAAATTAAGGAGGAAGCACTTCTCATACTTACCAAATATCATAATTTATATGTACAATTAAAATTTTGCTTACATCGCTGTGTCTTTTTAGTATGTATATCATTATGCAAAGCCTAGATGGTAACATACCTACCCATGATGCCTAAATGCCAAGAGTGAGTGCGCCATTAACCAAGATAGATAATACAAGGTTTGTAGAATGCCTGGTTACATTAATTCCTAAAGAAATACTTTATTCAGTAGGAGAACTACTTATGACTGTAGTATCCCAACAGTTTACATTTGAGAAAAGCACTCAATGACTTCAAAGGCTTCAGAAGCTCAAATATTAAACTCTTTCCTCCCGAGAAAAAAAAAAAACAGGTCCACTTTTGGCCTATTTGACAAGCAATGTGGCTAAAAGCATAACAAAAAATGTTTTAAATGTCTTTAAAAATGAGGTCCTCTGTGAATGTGCAATGCTAAAAATGCTAATATATCCATTGTAACATTTTTTGTGCTTAAGGTAACATCTGGAAAGTGAGCACTCAATTAGTTAAAAACACAACCACCCAGTTCCTGTTGCAGGAACCGGGTCTACCACTACACAAGAGAAGCACTCTCTTTAAGTTCATCAAATAAGCAGATTTGAAAGTGCATTTTTATGGTCAAAATTACTTTTTCTTCATCTGCACAATTAGTTTGTCTCTTGCTGAAAAGAACCTCTAAAGAAATGAGCAGGAAAAGTCACTGCAGAATCATTAAATAAAAGTTCAGGGCACATTATGTAAATGAGTGCTCCGTGAGAAAATGGACATCAAGATTGGTCTCAATGGTTCTCCTTTTTTGGACTCTTCACTGGGTTCAAAACACCCTTCACCAGACTTGAGGCCCCACACCATAAAACTTATAAGCACGACCCAAGTTCAACAACTAATTTATACACTGCAATGCTTATTCCTTTGCTGAGGAGCTGGGCAGTGGGAGTGGAGGATCATTCAGGCAGGCCTGTGTTTATCTACCTAGTTTACCTACTTAACTCCTTATACTTTGTGGCACCCCTCCAAGGAGCTGATGGCACCCCACATGCCTCTGCACCCTGGTTGAGAATCACTGGTCTATGCGCACATCAGATTTAAAGATTTTTTATATTTGTAAGCAGAAAAAGAAGGATGCTTTAGTTGATATTGTTTCAAACACTAATGGAAGAACATTCGTTGCAAGCCCTGCTGGAAATAAAGCAACATCTGAAAAATGGTAGCTTGGTCTTTATTAAATCAGTTCCTTATATTTGTCTTTCAGCCTGTTACAAGTCTGCCTATTTCTATTCCAAATAAACAGCAAATCTAATTTAAGACAGAAGAGGGCATCACATAAATAAAAGGAAGATAACAGGAAAAAGGGTAAAACCCTTGGCCATGTTAGCCAAACCCACACAATTTCATAGTTTGGAATAAATTTAAGTAATGTAAACAGCAATTTATACTGCACACTAGGGTTGAAAATAGTTAAAGGATTTCCCCCAAATAGACTTGGACTAGCTTGTACCTGACCAGAAGATAGAAAGACCATCTTCATTTAAAAACCAACATCAAAAGATGCAATTCACCAATTTTTTTTAATGATATCTATGCATGTTGTATTTTAGTACCTAATGCCAGAATATTGAGTAACAAACTACTTTACACCCCTAAAGTTGCAAGGACCATCCAGCACGCCCTTAGTCTGAAACTTCTTCCCAGTTACTCAAGAGCAAATTTTTAATAGTTCTGGTTGCAATGGAAAAAAAAAAATAAAGATTTGAATTACTTAAGTCTGGAACATTTTCTCCTTGGATGGAGAGAAAGGATTAAGGAGAGAAAAGATGTTTTACCTTTGATCTGGATTTCCCATTTTCTCCATAATTGGACATATCTTTAATTGCTTCTGGTGGCATGTAATTAACTGTGCCAACCTAAAAATGAAGAAATAGAAAGTTATGTAAATGAAGCAGGCATGCAACACAAGTAAAACTTACTTTTTTAAAGTTTGCTGCAAGTATTTCTTTAGTCATTTAATGGGTTTTTTTGTTTGTTTTTTTAATTAAGACTCGTAATAAAGCACAGAACATTTACCTTTTAGAATCGTACAACATCAGGGTTGGAAGGGACCTCAGAAGGTCATCTAGTCCACCCCCCTGCTCAAAAGCAGGACCACCCTTAAACTAGATCATTCCACTAAGGTCTTTGTTGAGCTGGGGCTTAAAAGCCTCCAAAAGATGGAGATTTCACCACCTCTCCAGGTAACCCCTTCTAGTGCTTCACCACCCTCCCAGTGAGAAAGTTTTTCCTAATATCCAATCAAAGCTTCCCTGGCTGCAAGCTGACACCATTGCTCCTTGTTCTGTCATCCATCACCACAGAACAGTCCAGCTCCATCCTCTTTGGAGCCACCCCTTCAGGCAGTTAAAGGCTGCTATTAAATCCCTCTCAGTTTTCTCTTCTGCAGACTAAATAAGCCCAGTGCCCTCAGCCTCTCCTTATAAGCAGGGATCCTGGTTTGAACATTATATTTTATTAATATATTATATTTACAATTTTAAAGCCATTTGGAAGTCTACCAGTGTGCCCCAATAATTATAATAAAATAAATTCTAAATACCTATACATTTTGCTGTTTGCTTTTATCATGGAAAAAATCAGAGCTCCTCAGGCCCCCTTTGGCCACCAGGATGCAAGTCCAGCTGCAGTGTCCCCCACACTGGCTTGTGGTGCTGAGCAGTCCTGATATGCCAGTGTCCTGCCCCTGCCCACGCCATTGCCCTTCACTCCTGGGCCACATGCCCCCCGGCCCTGCCAGTGCCCCTCACTCCCAGGCCACAGTCCTGCAGCCCTGCCAGTGCCCCTCACTCCCGAGCCACACCCCAGTGTATGATCCTGTGTGAGGAAGGGGATGGGTGTGTGGGCACAGGCAACACTGCAGGAAGGTGAGGGGTAGATGTCCCTCCCAGGTTTCTGCACCCAGTGGGGCTGCAGCCGGGCCAGACCAGCTCCGGGCATAAGCCACCTCTGTAGCCTAGCTGGCAGGACCTGGCACAGGATGGAGTGCTGCACCACCGTGACTGAGGTGTGGCAGCGCAGAGTTATGCCCCCATTGTTGCCGGGCAGGCAAAGGGGAAGGGGGGGGGGCGCTCACCTTGGCAGCCATGGCAGTGCAGTGCTCCTTCCCATGCTGGGTCTAGGCTGCTGAGGCAGCTCTTGCCTAGAGCTGGACCAGCTCGGCTGCAGCCCCACAACCCACTGTGGGCACAGAAGTCTGGGGGGCACTTGTGCCTCTCTCCCACACCCCTTCACAGACTTACTTATAGGGAGCTGCTCTCCATCACCCTGTCTGGCTGCCATGTGTGTGTGTGTGTGCACACATGCACATGTGCCCCCTGCCCACACACCCCCACAGCCCCAAGCATCCCCTTGCATGTTGGAACTCTGCCAGCCTGCAAGAGGAAAACCTATGGTTTTCTGTGTTTTTCTCTTTTAAAGAAGAAAATCCACTTTTTTCCCTGCAGCAAACAGAAAACCCAGATCCCATCTCATAAATCATGTGCCCTGCCCCCTAAACATTTTTGTTGTCTTCTGCTGGACTCTCTCCAACTTGTCCACATCTTTTCTGTGGTGGGGGGCCTAAAACTGTACATTACTCCAGATATGGCCTCACCAGTGTAGAATAGAGTGGCATAATTACTTCCTTCAATCTGTTGGCATCACTCCTACTAAAGTATGCTGTTAGCCTTCTTGGCAACAAAGGCACACTGTTGACTCATATCCAGCATGTTGTCCACTGGAACCCCCAAGTTCTTTTCTGCAGAGTTATTGCCTAGCCAGTCGGCCCCCAGCCTGTAATGTTGCATGGGATTGTTCCACCATAAGTGCAGGACTTTGCACGTGTGACAAATTTGTTAATCATTAGACTGGTAATCATTTAACACAATAAGCACTTTAGAGAGTGTTTTTCTAAAAACATTTTCCAAAAATATTTCACCTGGGAATCTTTAACAATGCTTGTTACATCTGGCTGCATTTGGTTTGCAATACCAAAATCAATTAGCTTTAGCATTCCATCAACGATCAGAAAGTTTGCTGGTTTCAGATCACTGTGAACAATGCCTGCAAGGTAAAAACAGCTCTTAAATTCAATACAAAGTTATATTAAGATGGGAAGTTCAAATTAATTCATTAGGTGTACTTTTTCTATCACAGAAGTGAAGCAGCACAATATGTATCAATTAGTAGGGACCACTATTTTGAGACCATTCACTCCTGTTGAATCTAAAGCTTCATTTAAAGAGGCTTCCAGTTCTTACAAAACTGTGAATAGAACAAACTTGAGATTTTTGTCAAAGGAGTGTCATTCCTTCGAGGTTGCAGACAGTCAGAAAGATCTTTGTGGGCAAGATTTTCTATTGAACCAACTGCATGACTGGAATAGACTTAGACAAGTTTCCATATGTCAAGGAAAAAACAGGCACTGCAAGAACTAAAAACAGTTGACAGGGCTATGAAACTGGAGAATAGAAGAATTCCCAGGAGTAGAGAGCAGAAGGATCAAGACTTTTCATGAAGGAAAAAGGGTCATCATCTCCTGTAATGTAATGATAAAGAAAGATTAGCAGGAGTTCTCGACTCCTAATGTCCAGCCAGCTCATGAATTTTTGTTCTCAGGTGCACCTTCTGCAGGTGCTCTGTAAGTTTCCCTTGAGCCCGAGAATAGTGAAGTCAAAAAGTGAGTGGTTGTTCTGTGAAAAAAAGTGTTGTCCTACATACATTTGTGGTGTTTTTGTCCTTAATGTTTTTCTGTGATCATTCATTCTGGTGCATTTGAAAACTTGCCTAAGGTCAATCCCAACCATGCGGTTGGTCCAATAAAACACCACCTGCTACAATCCTTGCCTCTTGCATGTTTCCTGAACCATCACAACTACTTCATCACTCCAACTATTAAAAAAACATCTACTTGTAACAGGAGCCAGGAGCCCCTGGTGGACCAGGAACAGCTATGGGGGCAGTTTGAAGGCCACAGGGGTACCCGAGAGACACCCACTATAGAGCCACCTAGCAAGGGTCAGAGACCCCAGGGACAGAGCAGCATGCAAGCTGCCCAGGCTGCCACACAAGATCAGGGCTAGGGGCCCAGAGCCTCAGAGGGTGAGGTGAGGCGGGGCCCAGAAGCTGGGCGTGACTATGGGGGCAGCCGGATGTCACAATTATTGCTCTAATAGCCACAACTGCAACCATCTTGAAGGGGAAATCCACCCCAGAGTTTGGGGCCGAGGAGTTCTGAGGAGTGTACACAGAGGAAGGGCACCCAGGAAAAGGCCTCCCAAGTTAAGAGAATTTAAGATCCAGTTGTGACATGTGAGATTGAGGAGGTAAAAGGGAAGCCTCAGAACATGGGCAAGCAGGTCTGACAACTGGGGGGCATCAGATGCCAGGAAGATCTCCTGAGCCTGTGACACTACTCCTAAGTCCTGTATCTTAGTCTTGTACAAAACCTAACACTTTAGGTCGAAATCATTGACTGTGCATCTGAGCAAGTTACACAGAAAAAGACTATTTGGATACTTTAGCTTCCTTCAAAAGGATCTGGAAGTAAAGTATACTTCTGGTATCTGATAAAAGAAATATAGAAGTCACATATTCGGTCATGAAACTACATTTTTAAAAAGCCAATCAAACTTCCAACAGAACAGATAGCAGTAGCCCTTCAAACCAACAACATCTATTTTATCTGCATCACAAGCAGTATACACTAAACCCTAGAAATATGATAAAATCCCCGTTTTCTGGCATTCTAATAGCTGGCATACTCTACTAACCAGCACTGCGCCACCGCCGTCTTGCAGCTGCCATCCACCACTCCGCACCACCACAAGCAAACACCTGGCGCTGCCACCATCCCCCCCCCCCCTGCATGCACCGGCCCCCACCCCCCCCCCCCCTGCCGCCATGTGCAAGCCCTTCCTCCCACCTCTGGCTCCACTATTTTTACATAACCAGCATTTTTACATTGTCAGCAACCGGCATTCTCCACTCATGCCAGATAAGGGAGATCTTACTGTACCGTGCTCATGGATTGTGTGAACAGCTTCCAACATGTTTTTCCAGTAGCTCTTTCTTTCCCATGGATCAATATTCTTTTTCTTTTTAAGCCAGCTATTTAAATCAATATTTCCACATTCCATTACCATGTAGATATGCTGTTCAGCAACTTCACTAAAAATAAAATATAGTTACACTGAGGTTAAACTTTTAAAGTAACCGCTTTAAGCAACATTTTGAAAGCTATTAATGAGTGTAACATATACTCACTAGTCATAAAGTCTGATGATCTTGTCACTATGTTGCTGCAGTTTATTCAAATGAGCAATTTCATTCTTATAGCTCTCAACCGTTTGCTGATCAGCTTCTTTTAGATTCACATATTTGACGGCATACAGATGCTTCTCTTCATTTAGTACCTGAAACACCTGTAACAAAACACAGACAGAAAGGACTTTGTTACATATTTCCAATATTGGTTCACTTATTGGTGCTCTATCACCAAACCTTGCACAAGCAGACAGCCTTGTTTGGTAGATGAAGCAGCATATCTTCATTTTACAGAGGAAATACAAAAACATTTCCCCATAAAGGCCCTACACTACTTTTGACTTTCATTTGAAATACGTATTTCCAAGGGAATCAGAGGGTAGCACAGTCCTACAGTCAGGATCACCTTGGTTTAAGTGTCTACTTTGTATAAAAGTGGCCATTCACATACTTGCCCTTGGTGAATCCACACTGATTGTTCTTAAATCACCTTCTTCTCCAAGTGCTTAGAAATGAATTCTTTGAGGACCTGTTCCATGATTTTTCCAGGGACTGAAGTGAGGCTGACTGCTCTGTAGTTTTGGGGGGTTTGTTTTGTTTTTTTTAAAAGACGGACACTATATTTGCCCATTTCCAATTGTCTGGAACCTCCTTCAATTGCCACAAGTTTTCAAAAGATAATGCCCAGTGGCTCTGCCATCGCATCAGCCAACTCCCTCAGCTCCCTCGGATGCATTGCATCTGGCCACAGGGACTATTCAGAAAAGCTGGATGTGAACAGGTCCATGAATAGTTCACTACTGAGGGCTGCTCAACTGCTGCCCAAATTGTGCTGCCTGGCACAGTAGTCTGGGAGCTGACCTTGCCTGTGAAGACCAAGCTAAAAAAGGCATTGAGTACTTCAGCCTTTTCCTCACCATTTATCACTAGGTTGCTTCTCCCATTCAGTAAGGGGCCCACAAGTTCCCTGGCCTTCCTCTTGTTCTCTTAGAAACCCTTCTTGTTACCCTTCACGTCCCTTGCTTGCGGCAACTCCAATTGCACTTTGGCCTTCCTGATTTGACCCCTTCATGCCCAAGCAATATTTTTGTACTCCTCCCTAGTCATCTGTTCATATTACTTATTAATCCATATTACTTATTCCATTTCCTACTTTCCATTTATTCCCTCTGACCTACCGAAGTTCATTGATCCCCTTAAGCTTTCAATTTACACAAGATAAAAATCAAAATTCAAATCTTGCCAATTTGTCAGTAGCCAAAACCTATGCTGTTCCCTGCATAATAGCTTGGGTCCTCTCGTGAACATAAATCTCTGAATGGTGGTACACAATGCCCACACAGTCATAAGTGTAAGCCAAATCTAAAATAGCTTTGAAATCTTTATTAAGAGCACATGAAATGTAGATACGTTATATAGACACTTTCCTGTGCAAAGGCAAGGCCAGTCCAAAAAAAAAAAAAATCCTAAAATAAAAATGAAAAGTTGCCAATAGAGTTTAAGTTTGTTTTTAAGACTGTATCCCTGCACTTCCCCTTTAGCAGTTTTAAAGAAAAGGAATCTCTTAAAACACCTGGGCATGGTAATTGCAGCATGAGAACATGAGCATGTTCTAACTTTAAGGTTAAATGCAAATTTTGCCAACTTCTCAAGTACATAACACGCCCAGTTAAATTTGCGAGGAGGTTTCAGCTTAAAAACAATGATTTACATATCCCATTGAGAAATAATTTTCTGCAAGTGATGAAATACGTAAGTGCAATACGAAACTATCATAAAACTGAGTAAGGTTAAGTTTAAGAGCCTGGGGTGGTAGTCAGGGAAAGCCAGCTTTAAAATATTCTCACTCCTATTCAGCACAAGGATCTGCATGATCTAGTAGACTGAGCTCTTTGCTAGGATTAAAAGAAATTCTAGTATCAGATCAAACTGATTTTCCTCTGCAGGATCTTCAGCAAATCAATGTAAAAGGAGAATTTAAAAATAGAATATTTCTCTACTGATTTGGATATTGTAAATTATTTTTAGACAATACATATCCCTGCAAGCACCTCAGAGTAAAATGTAAAAACCATGGCATCCAATTTCATTTTTTGTTCTTCATGTATGCTCAAACCCTATATGCCTTTTTTTTTTTTTTTGGGGGGGGGGGGGGGGGGGAGGAGAGGAGGACTTGTTACCAATCATCTTTGGGCAAGGCCCCAGCAGACACTGAGGGAAAAATTATGCATATTTTTGTATATGATGGGAGGGGACTAGTTAGTGTGCTGCCACCAGAACTAAGTGGAATGACTCATGGCTTAACCAAAACTGATCAATTTCAGAATTTCTATAGCCAGGTTGTCTGACCCTAACCCTACCCCCCGCCCCCAAATGGGCAGAAGGCAGAAGAGGCAGCTTCCAGGGCCCGCAAGCCACACATTAAACATGGCTACCAGTTGGACATCCCTGTTATAAACTAGTCCTTCTTTCAGCTAAGTGACTCCCTCCTTCTACACAAGCTCTTTACTACTAAACATCTTCACATTCCATCTATCACTGCCTAGAGGCAGACAGATATCAGAAGCAAAAGTAAATCATGGTCACAGGCTATGTCATCGCTGCAATAGGTGAAGGATGGAAGCAAGGCTGCAATGACCAGGTCATAGGCAGTCTAGCTTAGTAGGCCACCAAGGGAGGGCAAGAGGGAACTGGTGGATCAAGAGCCAGACAGGGGGGCAGGAGCTACAGTCCCAGTTCCCAAATCCAAAGGGACACTCCAGAGGCAGAGACTAAGTCACAGGCTAATTCCAGGTTTTAGAGCTCTTCCAGAAGAGTCATTCTTCCCTTCCACCCCTCCAGGTTTGTCATTGGGCACCCCAGGAAAAATAATAAAATAAATTTTTTCCCTGCAGCAGTTTCACAGAATGTGCTTTCAAACTGTTGTGCTGTACACATGTCCAAAGACATGTGTCTGCAAGTGGAGGGACCCCAAATGATTGCCCACTTGCAAACATGCACCCTGGGGCAGGGCATCATAATATAACATGCAAGTCCCAGGAATCCCTTGCAGGGGATTCCCATGGTGTTTTCAAGCTGCCATGCCTCAGATCAGGGCACAGCACTCAGGGCCACTGCCCCACAGGACTGGGCCCCTGAAGTCCCTGGAACAGCAGAGGTCTGAACCTGAAGAACAATGGTGACTGGCCTGCAGCCTGCTGCCACAGGTAGACTAATATGGGGAGGCTGATTAGTCATATCCACTGTGCTGGGACACATCCCAGCACAGCTGATACAGCAAAAATTACATCTGTTTTCAGCCTTGGAGGAACCACAATTGGTAAAGAGTACTCGACTGGGAGGTAGCTGGTTTCTGTCAGAGTCTACAGGAGAAGGGAACTACAATCAGAGAAGTAAGTCTGGAAGGGATAAGAGGTTACATAGTCTAACCCCCTGCCTGAGGCAGTCATCCCTATCCAAACCATCCCATACAAATTCAGTGTCTAACTTCCTAGCAAAACTTTACAGTCAGCCCTGACATAACACCCTAATCTGCCACAGGTAAAGCAGAAGGACCACATTATCCAACACACTGCTGCTACAAAAGGTTAAAAATACACTTGAGAGATCCCAGGAACATAATGTGCATCACCAAATTAGCAACTTCACTAACTTAGTCTTTGGCAAAACACCACTGCTTCAAGTACATATTGATACATTTTCCTGCTACATTCTTCATATTTGTCCCACTCTTATTTTCCATAGAGACTTGCATAAAGGGTCATTCCCATGAAGGCTAGAAGCTAAATTTTCACTTACACTGAAGTTTCTTAAAATATTTGTTATTTGGATTATTTAAATACTTTGTGCAGGCTACCTCTAGCACATGAGCTATATCTGACACCATGACTCAAAATGTGAGTTGGTGTATTTGACTTTTGTTAGTCTTAAAAGTTAAAAAAATAATCTTACCTTACTTGAACCTCCACTACCTATTTGCTTTAATATGGTGTATAGTCTCCCTTTAATGGCAATGCATTCATTTGAAGGTATAGAAGCTGAAACCTGAATACATAAAAAAACAGAATGAAAATAATTTTCACATCTGCAATGGAATCCGATAGATACTTGAAAAATTCACCCAGTACTTAATAAATGAGGACAGTCTGCTAGTCAGAATGAAATATACCTGTGTGACTCCTCCCAACATCGCAATACCCAACTGTTTGCATTTAAGGAATAAAGATAATTGCTTTAAAGTAATATGTTTTACCAATTCACTTGAATTCAGCAAGTTTAAGAGATTGTGGTTTTCCATGTTTTCCTTCCTCTCACATTTATTGTAATCTTAGTGGACAGTACTGTCTAGCACCGTCTTAGCTCTTTTCTTTTTTTGTTCTTCCTCCATCTACTTCATTATAATTTCCCCTCCATTCTTCCACTCCCCCATCTCGTCTAACTTAGCCTATCATTGTTTCCTCTTCCCCCCTTCTGCCCCATACAGCACAGCTGTCTTAATAGGACTCGGAAAAAATGCCTAACAGACAAAAAACAGAACCTACGGTAATGGGACCGTGTCCAGGGAACTGGCCCAGTGAGAAGTCAAGCTCAGCTCTTGGACTCAAACAAGGAGTGGGATTGCCTACCAATGAACAGTAATGGATCTCTACAGCCATGTCAACAGAACATACAGAAGCACAATTAGAAATAAGTCATGGCTATTTATTCTCACTCTCTTAGGGCCAAAGCCTAGAAGTTGGGGAGCACAGGTGGCTTGAACAGGCCTGAGTACATCCCCCATCCCACTACAAGCCATCTGCACCAATATGTAGCCTTGGGTGCACACAAATAGGTAGGGTTTATTTCTCAGCAGCGATCTGACGTTTGCTCTAGTGTACTCACAGTCCAGCAGTACAGTCTCCATCAGTCAATCATAAAAAAATTACTCTAATAAATAATGGCAGAATAAGGAGTTCCATCAAGAAAGAGCAGATTTGGTACTTCCCTGTATATTAGTCATTGATTCTAATAGCTAGTGACAGTAGCAGAAATACTGGAATTAGATGTCTAAATACTACCAAAGTCTCTAGACCCTACAGAACTGTTTTACACTTGACTCACGTTTGAAAAACTAATTCCCAGAGGTATATAAATAAAAGTCCCCATCACCTTTAAAACATTTAGGCTTCTAAAAGTTGATTGACTTGCTTCAGAAAAAATAAAAAGCTGATTTCTTGCCATTCTTAAGTAAACTCTTCAAGCCATAAACTAAGCAGCAATGTATATTTTGGTAAAACCATAACAGCAGCCTAAGTGTTGCCTCCACATTTATCCAGAAGATGGTCTATAGACCAATTTTAGATACAAATCCTTAAACCCGTGCCCACCAACTTCCATAAAAGTCATTTATTTTGAATCACTATGGAAGGCTGGAAAAACTCTTGGGAAAATTTAAAAAAAACTTCAAGAAATCATTCATTTTACATTACCTGTAAGCCAAACTGGTTTTGAAATGGAGTTGCTGGTGTACATGGCTGAAAATAAGGAAGTTGGTTGTATGGAGTGGAAAACTGATTCGCTGGTGGGAAGTCACTCTTTACAACTGGTGTTCTGAAACTGAGGGGGGTGGGGAAAAAAAAAAAAGTCATCCTCAAAAAGGAGTCTGGAATCAATTTAATTTTTGAAGTATGAACTTATTCCAATACATGTTGCAATCTGAAGAACCTAAGATTTATCACAGTTTACCCAATCAGTTACCAAATGGCTGTGTTACTACTGTATTTATGCTACCTTTCATTATGAGAATTATAGATATATACTCTCAAACCTCATTGTACTTATCTACCTCTTAAGCACTTAAAGTAATTCAAAAATAAAAAGTCTTTACAAGTATTTCATAAATATTTAACTATACCAAAGCACCCGAGGTACCAATCTCAATCTCTGCAAAAGTTGGAAAAGAAAGCTGGTACCATAACTCTGCCCAGGCTCAGAGAAAAATTCTCTGATGGAATCTGCTTTCCTGCTCCCAAGCTTTTACAAATATTAGTTCCCTCTTGGTACAAAGAAACTGAACAAGATTAAGCTAGTGCTTAAATTTGGAGACCCAGGTTCAAATTTTGGACACCAAAATAAAAAGTAAGGACCTTTTAAGGCCTTGCCTATTCTGCATATAGCCAAGTATGACTACATTTAAAAGAATATTAAACTTGCAGTAAGCAAGGATTCAGAAGTTGGGAAATGCCAAAATTAAGACCGGCTCATTTAGTGCACAGGACAGATAATGTACACATAAATTAGTTACACAATGTGACATACAAAGATAGCTCTGTTAGTCAAACTGCAAGCTATTCAAACCCTGCACTACTACAGTATTAGTTTCCCCATTAGCTTTATCAGTCTTCCTCCACAGTATCATGTTGTATTCACTGATATTTCCAAATTATGGTCTTCAGAGTATGCCAGTGAGGCAAGATATCTTCATTTTAATACAAGTGGGGGACAACTGAGAATAAGACAGAGCTGAATAAGTGTCCACTAATTGCGCATGTCTGACTTGAAACATGTTGGACCTGTGTTTTTTGGGGTTTGTGCATGACAAGTACTAAACAAATCTTACATATTTAACATGGTCAAAGAGCTGGTTTCACCAGCTGCAACTGCAGGAACTCAGCATATTTGTATTTAGCTCCCACAAGTACTGGCACAGAGCTCCAATTAAGCAATTTGCACAGCATAACACAGGGAGCAAGGATGATATCCATTTCTCTAAGATGTAAAATTAGTTGATTGTCAACAAAACCACCTGCACTTTCTGCAGTCCTGTGTTTCAGTACCTACACATCTTCTAATTTTCACAAGTAAAATTAGGAACCCTGCAGAAAACAGCCTCAATTCAGCACCATTCCTAATGTACTGCTCATCCTTTGCACTGAATTAGACAATGGTTCTGTGAAAAATAATGCAATTGTGTAATTAAAAAGCACAATATAATATCCACAGACAGGCCACATTAAAGGTTTCATGGGCAACCTTAAACTGATATTTCCTACCTTGTGTGGCTTTATAAACATGAGCTTCATGTTAAATATAGGGGATTTTTCATATAATTATCTCCAAGTTTTTTATGGAAGCTTTAGTTGACCCACACAAATAGTGAAGCAGGGTTTCACAGCACAGATCTTTATTACCCAAATTAATAATTACTAGCATTGGGAGGCCGTTTTCTTTTATATGGAAGGAAGGAAGAAACTAGATGTGTACTTTGCCAATGGGTTTTTACAGCAAGAGGACTTTTGAGACTTCAGAATCCTGGGTATAATTCCACATTTTGAATAGGAGTGTCCTCTAGAGATTAAAAATATCAAACTAATCTCTCTCCAGCCTCTGACTACTCATGTCTTTCACCTTCTGCATTTCTTCTTTCTTTCCTGCCTCTAAAGCGCAGTCAAGATGTCATGATTCCAAAAAGGAAACTTAAAATGTCTACAACACTGCTT